TGAGTAGCTGGGATTACAGGCACGTGCCACCATGCCCAGCTAATTTTTTGTAGTTTTAGTAGAGACGGGGTTTCACCATGTTGACCAGGATGGTCTCGATCTCTTGACCTCGTGATCCACCCCCCTCGGCCTCCCAAAGTGCTGGGATTACAGGCTTGAGCCACCGCGCCCGGCCTTTTAAGACAGTTTTTTAAAGTCTTTGCCATCAGGTCTCTTTCAGTGACCATTTCTGTTGACTTCTTTTTCTTCCCTTGACTGGGCCATATTTTCCTTTCTTCATATGTCTTGTGATTTTTTTTTTTTAATTGTTAAAAAGTAGATGTTTGAATCATACTGTGGTATCTGGAAATCAGATTCTCTGCCTCCGCTGGGCTCAATGTTTTTGTTTACTTATTTGATGGTTGTATACTGTGCGTATGCTAAGGATAAGCCTGAGGTATAAACGTAAGGTCTTCTCAAGTCTTTGCTTTTTCTTTCTTTACATTTTTTTTTTTTTTTTGAGACAGAGTCTTGCTCTGTCACCCAGGCTGGAGTGCAAATGGCTGTATCTCAGCTCACTGCAACCACTGTTTCCTGAGTTCAAGCAATTCTACTGCCTCAGCCTCCTGAGTAGCTGGTATTACAGGCATATGCCACCATGCCCAGCTAATTTTTGTACTTTTAGTAGAGACTGGGTTTCACCATGTTGTTCCGGCTGGTCTTGAACTCCTGACCTCATGATCCGTCTTTGGCCTCCTAAAGTGCTGGGATTACAGGTGTGAGCCACCACACCTAGTCTCTCTCTCTCTCTCTCTTTTCTTTTTAAGACAGAATCTCACTCTGTCGCCCAGGCTGGAAGGCAGTGGCGTGATCTCAGCTCACTGCAACCTCCACCTCCCAGGTTCAAGCAATTCTCTTGTCTCAGCCACCCAAGTAGCTGGGATTACAGGCATGGGCCACCACACCTGGTTAATTTTTTGTATTTTTAGTAGAGCTGTTGCTTCACTATGTTGGTTAGGGTGGTCTCAAATTTCAACCTCAGGTGATTCACCTGTCCTGCCTCTGCCTCCCAAAGTACTGGGATCTCAGGCATGAGCCACCACACCCAGCTTCTCAGGTCTTTTCTGAGCCTTTCTCTGGGCATGCGTGGTCATTTCTATTTTTCCCTATATATGTGTTTGTTTTTGAATGTTGTAGTCTTTAATGTCTGGCTTCGAAAAGGGGAAAAAAGCAAAAAATTAATGGGGGCGGTGCTGGCCTTTAAATTACCTGGAGGTCACTTCAGCCCAAATGGAGAGGGCCTTGCCACATTGGAGGCAGGTGTAATAACAATGGCTCTCAGCCTCTTTATCTGCACGTCTGTGATCAGAACCAGCAATCAGTGATCAGAGCACAGATCCTTGATGTTTGGAGGGTCAGGGTCTTTGTTTTTGTGCCCCCTGGCTCCCTCAAGCTATGTGCAGGTTGCTCCAGGAACATGGGCACAGCTGCCTACTGTGTGACTGAGAGTAGCTGCTACTCTGCTAAGAGCTGAAGTTGACTAAAATTAACCACTATTTAATATCCAAGCCTTCCCCTAGAAGTTGCAAGCGTTTAATTGATTCCAGAATAGTTTCAGAATAGTTAACAGGAGAAAGATTTTGCTAATGCAGTTGTCTGGGTGGGGAAGATTGTTGGTGTTTTGTACTCCATCCTCTTCCCCCTCTCTTAGGTTTTCACATGTGTGGTTACATTAAATCCTGATGAGCAGAGATTTTGCTCCAAGCATTTCTTGGTATTTTTAGGGAAATGTATATGTTACACATTCTGGTCTCCAGTGTGAATGATAAGTAAAATGTGGTTGCTGCTGTTACATCATTATGTTTTCTCCCTGCTTTTAGATAAACCAGATACTTTCAATCAGTGAAAAACAATGACAGATATTTCAGGAACTCTTCAATTAGCTGGCCATAATATGTTTTATATTAAATGATATGTTTCATAAGCCATGTACATTTTTCAAATCCAACTCTATCTCATCATACTTCACATGATACATGTGGCAAAATAAGACACAGACTCAAGTTTTAGAGTTCCTTAAGGTAAGGTTGGCTACAAGAAGGTTTGAGGGCCCCCACATAAACTTGCAAGACCCCGAAAGACAGTGATTTTTCTTGAGATACATTAAGTCACAAGCACACTAATTATAGTGAAATCTTACAACTGTGCAAAATATTTGGTCATGTTAACTACTGATGTCCAGAGTTTTCACGAAGACTATAGCTGACATATTTTTTTAAAGATCATGCCATTTATCTAATGAGAGTAAAACATCAGTTTGCTAGGGTTTTAACTTTTCTTAACTGGCAATCTTTTTGATTTTTTATTTTATTTTCTGAGACAAGGTCTTGCTCTGTTGCCCAGGCTGGAGTGCAGTGGTACGATCAGAGTTCACTGCAGCCTCATTGACCTCCTGGGCTCAGTCAATCCCGAGTAGCTGGGACTACAAGAACATGCTACTATGCCTGGCTAATTTTTGCTTTTTGGTTTTTTTTCCTGACTAGAGATGAGATTTTACCATGTTGCCCAGGCTGGTCTCAAACTCTGGACTCAAGTGATCTGCCTGCCTCAGCTTCCCAAACTATTGGAATTGACAGCCTTCATGACATAGAACTTCATCTATTATGGGCAGTGCTGGCTTCATGGATGTGTCATTTGTGCTCTTAGAAATGCCTAGTGCTTGATTTAATATTCTCCCCTGTTGCTATTGTGAAATTTCTAATAAATTATAAACAAAGACCTCTGCATTTTCATTTTCATCGGGGCCTGCAAATTGTCTAGCTGGTTCTGATTATGGGAGCTGATTTCATCTTCCTTTACCCTATGGTATGAGCTAAAGCATGGTTTTCACAGCATAAGCTATGGACCAGGCAAGGGCAGTGGTAAGCCAAAGGAGCTTCTGGCCAACACCTTTTATTTCTACCAGAGACTGAACTTGGTATGATAGGCAAGGGAAAGAAAGAGCATAGTTGAGAAGCAGGCAGGAGCTACTGACAGCTAGAGATTCTCCATTAACAACAACAGCAGCTGCTGGCGCTCCTGCTACGCCCACCACCATTTCAAGCACCTAAAATATCTGCCAGGCTCTGGCTAAGTGCTTCATGTTTATTATTTCCTTTAATTTAATCTTCTCAACATCCTACAAAATGAGTATTATTTTTATAGATGAAGAATCTGAAGTTACCAGTAATTAAGTTGCCTACAATTACAGAGGCATTCACTTAAAAATAACTAGTCTCTCTTGTCTGCTGTTAAGATTGAATGTGAATCACTGATTTACCACTTTAAAAGATGTATTGGTAGGGCAAGGGCCATAGACTAATGCTTCTTTAGTATTTTATTTTTAGTCTACATTTTTACTTTTATGTATAATTGTAGATAGTATTGTTGTTTTTGGATAGACATTTTCTTTTTTTTTGAGACGGAGTTTCGCTCTTGTTACCCAGGCTGGAGTGCAATGGCGCGATCTCGGCTCACTGCAACCTCCGCCTCCTGGGTTCAGGCAATTCTCCTGCCTCAGCCTCCTGAGTAGCTGGGATTACAGGCATGCACCACCATGCCCAGCTAATTTTTTGTATTTTTAGTAGAGACGGGGTTTCACCATGTTGACCAGGATGGTCTCGATCTCTTGACCTCGTGATCCACCCGCCTCGGCCTCCCAAAGTGCTGGGATTACAGGCTTAGCCACCGCGCCCGGCCAGGTGGATAGACATTTTCTTACCTTTTTCTCCACGGATGCTATCTAGAGAGTATAACAATACTGGAAGTGTTTTCCCAGAAGAAATATGTACACCCTCCTCTTCCTCTCAGAAGATGTCAGTAAACAGTCCTACCTATTTTTTAAACCTCAGCCAAGATAACATTTAGTTCATTGATTATTTTTGCTATTTTTGTTTTGATATGTGATTATATTCTGCCATAATTTTAAAAGACTATTGAGTGGGCATGGTGGCTCAGGCCTATAATCCCAGCACTTCAGGAGGCCAAAGCAAGTAGATACTTGAGCCCAGGAGTTCAAGACCATCATGGGCAACATGGCAAAATCCTGTCTCTACAAAAAATACAAAAATTAGCCTGGCATGGTGGTGCACACCTGTAGTCCCAGGTACTGGGAAGGCTGAGGTGCAAGGTTCACCTGAGCCTGGAAGTGGAGGTTGCAGTGAGCTGATATCACACCACTGCACTTCAAACTGGGTGACAGAGCAAGACCCTTTCTCAGAAGAAAAAAAAAAAAAAAAAGGTTATCCATGGGATCTATTTTAATTTTGCGTTAAAATAAAGTTTTTCACAAGTTTATAAATACAGAAATCTCTCTGGACTAACCCCAGTCATGTGTCTTGCAGGAGAGCGTCTCTAGCAGCTGATGTCCCCAGGTTTGGATATAGTTCCTTATCTAGTCACAAGTATGTCCCCCGGAGGGCAGTGCTTTATGTACCTGGAAATGATGAAAAGAAAATAAAGAAGATTCCATCGCTGAATGTGGATTGTGCAGTGCTCGACTGTGAGGATGGTGTGGCTGCAAACAAAAAGGTAACAGCATGATTTTAGTGTGAGAAAAAGAAAGGGATGCAAATTTGCGTTTCTTCCGAATAGTGACACTGCCCGCTATTTGGAAAGATTCTACCGTACTCATCTTTTGCTGATTATTAACAGTTCTTTGGCCTACTTTTATATAGGTTCTCAATGTACGTTTCTTTTCTTTGAGAGAAAGGAAGAATCCCATCAAAATATATTTTAAAATCATGACCTTCTGTATATATGAGACTATGTGTATGTATGTATAGATAGACAATCAATTTTGGCCATGATATTTGCTGGTCTAAGTAAATGAATGACATCGGGGTCCTGAAACATGGACTAGTACAGGCCACAGTGCAGGGCTGCTAAGAACTGGGCCAGACAGCAGATGAGCAGTGGGTGAACAAGCATTATGACCTAAGCTCTGCCTCCTGTCAGATCAGCAGTGGCATTTGATTCTCAAGGAGCATGACCCTGTTGTGAACTGCGCATATGAAGGTTCTAGGTCGCACTCTCCTTATAAGAATCTAACTAATGCCTGATAATCTGAGGTGGAACAGTTTAATCTGAAACCATTGCGCCGCCCCACCTCCCAAGGAATAATTGTCTTCCATAAAACAGGTCCCTGGTGCAAAAAAGGTTGGGGAGCACTGAATTACATAATTTTAAAATTGTGGTGTAAGATTTTCAGACTGATAAAATGCAACTAGGAAGTTATTTCTTCTTCGGTGGTATACTGAGTAGTGGTCTTATCTCTTTGGGATAAGTGTCAAGAGAATAAAACATAGTTTTCCATGGATAAATCACCATTTTCTCTACTTAATTTAAGGGAAATGACACATAGAACCTTGGTGGTTGGTTGTAGCTTCTGGCTTATTTCCTCAAGGCCTGACCAAAGAGATGAGCCTTAGAAAATATCCAATTTGTAGGCCGGACGAGGTGGCTCATGCCTGTAATCCAAGCCCTTTGGGAGGCCAAGATGGGAGTATTGCTTGAGCTCAGGAGTTTGAGATGAGTCTGGGCAACATAGCAAAACCTTGTTTATTAAAAAAAAAAAAAAAATAGCCAGGCATGATGGCGTGTACCTGTAGTCCCAGCTTATCAGGAGGCTGAGGTGGTAGGATCATTTGAACCCAAGAGTTTGAGGCTGCAGGGAACCATGATTATGCCACTGCACTCCAGCTTGGGCAACAGAGCGAGACCCTGTCTCCAAAAAAGTTTTAAAAAGCCAAAATAACCAATTTGTAAACAGGTACAAAAGACTCTTACGGCATGATTGTATAGCAGTTGCTTTTTGATATTTTGCTCACCTTTGTTTTCTATGTTTTTCTGATGAACATGGATTCATTCAACAATTAGTTGAGATATATAAATCATTATAACAATAACTTATATTTGCATGGACATTCTTTTGTTTTTGAGATGGAGTTTTGCTCTTGTTGCCCAGGCTGAAGTACAATGGTGCAATCTCGCCTCACCACAACCTCTGCCTCCTGGGTTCAAGCAATTCTCCTGCCTCAGCCTCCCGAGAAGCTGGAATTACAGGCATGCGCCACCACGCCCAGCTAATTTTGTATTTTTAGCAGAGACGGGGTTTCCCCATGTTGGTTAGGCTGGTCTTGAACTCCCAACCTCAGGTGATCCGCCCACCTCAGCCTCCCAAAGTGCTGGGATTGCAGACGTGAGCTCCTGCACCCAGCTTGCATGGAACTTTTAAAGTTAAAAACATGAGTTCACTTGATCTTTATCTATCCAGGCCCTAGACCATGAGGTTGGGCTGGGAATGGGTTAGGGGAGAGGGGGATGAGGGAGCCGGCTCTCTGGGTTTATGCCTACTTGGAAGTTTCTTGCCCCAGGTGACCTGAAACAACGTGGCTATACTATACAGTTTTCTGGATTAGTTACTTTTTCTGGAGTTTCTAGCAAATATTTGCCTTAATTTTAAAGAAAAAATTTAATTTCCAGCATCTTATAATGGTCAAACTAAGGCTTTCCGAGTATTTGGAAAAGGATTAGAATGAGCATGTGGAATCTAAAACATCTATTCAACATCTTTGGCATGTGCAAGGAAAATACTACTAATCTTTCCCCCAGAGATTAAAGTAAATAGGCCTTTTTCTGAAGGCTATAATGTGACTCCAGTATGCTCCTTCCCATACCTCATGTAGTGTGCTCCAAGATTAGATGCTAAATTGTAATTCCAGTTCTGTGTGACCCAGGGCAATTCACTGTACTTCTTTGCCTCAATTTCTTATCTATACTGTAGGGATGCCAATATCTTCTTTTGTCAGGGGCAGGGATATTATGAGAAAAAAGTTGATAAAGTATCTGGGAGTACCTTGATTTCTTATAGGAAATAGATTAGATAAATCCTGTAGTAATCATGATTACAAGGGAATGCATTTTATCATGGTAGCGGTGAGCCATTGGGTGCCCTGATAAACTTCTAATTATAGTTCTTCACAAGTCTTAGGGCTGTCCTCCAATACCCACCTGAGAATGTTTTCTGCCGCCCAAACAAGTTGGAAATGTAGTCTGTTCCTGCTTTACGTTTCCTTATTGTTTATGGGTTCTGAAGCAATCTTTATCTCCATAATAGTAGCAGCTGAGCTACTACTTAGAAGAAATAGAAGGAGGAGAAGGGAGAGAATAAGAATTAATGATGGGCAAACTGGGCTGCTGTCTTGGAGTACATATGTCCACACAGCATCTTTATTAGGACGTTTTCATTCTCCTAATGCAGTTGGACATTGCATTATGTGCTAGACACACTGTTTTATGCACACTAAGCTTAGAGTCAGCTAAAATTTCATTAAAAATTTTTTTTTGGCCTTTCTTTTGCCCAGGCTGGGGTACAATAGCGTTATTATAACTCACTGCAGCCTCAAACTCCTGGGCTCAAGCAGTCTTTTCACCTCAGCTTCCTGAGCAGCTAGGACTATAGGCACCCACCGCCATCCCAGCTAATCGTTTTATTTTTTGTAGAGATGGGGTCTTGCTTTGTTGTTCAGGCTGGTCTTGAACTCCTGGGCTCAAGTGATCCTGCTGCCTTTGTCTCCCCAAGCGCTGGGTTTACAGGCATAAGCCACAATGACCTGTCAAAATTCTCTTTCTTATCTATAGAAACTTCTGGCAAGCCAGGCTGATATTTGTTTAAAAAATAATAATAATAATCTTGGCCAGGCATAGTGGCTCACGTCAGTATTCCCGGCACTCTGGGAGGCTGAGGCAGGCAGATCACTTCAGTCTAGGAATCTTAAGACCAGCTTGGGCAACATGGCAAAACCTTGTCTCTACTAAAAATACAAAAAAAAGCAGGTCATGGTGGCACACACCTGTAATCCCACCTACTTGGGAGACTGAGGCACGAGAATTGCTTGAACCTGGGAGGCGGAGGTTGTAGTGAGCTGGGATTGCGCCACTGTACTCCAGCCTGGGCAACAGAGCAGGACTCTGTCTGAAAAAAAAAGTTTATTTTTCTTAAAATCTTTATCTAGGATTTAATTTTATCTCATATATTTCACATCATAGCCCTGGCCTGTCAGGGTCATTTTGGATTTTCGTTTCATTATCCAACATTTATGTCATGCACATCTTATGAAAATTTAACAAGTTTCTGATGGAAATTTTCAAGAGATTGGATCCAAGTGCTGCACAAGCATGCCACTGAAAACTTCTTTTCCAGTCTGTAGAACAGAGATGTATATAGTGCTGATGAAATACCAGGTGCTGTAATTTGCATGACAACCCAATGAGGTGCTGTGATGACATTCCTTTTATAAGTAAGGAAACTGAGGCACAGAACGATCCAGTTCTATATATATATATGTATATTTTTAGACAGAGTTTTGCTTTTGTTGCCCAGGTTGGAGTGCAGTGGCACGATCTCGGCTCACTACAGTCACCGCCTCCAGGGTTCAAGTGATTCTTCTGCCTCAGCCTCCCAAGTAGCTGGGATTACATGTGCACGCCACCATTCCTGGCTAATTTTGTATTTTTAGTAGAGATGGGGTTTCAACATGTTGGCCAGACTGGTCTTGAACTCCTAACTCCCGAGTAGGTGGGATTACAGGTGTGTGCCACCATGACCAGCTTTTTTTTGTATTTTTAGTAGAGACAAGGTTTTGCCGTGTTGCCCAACATGATCCGCCCGCCTCGGCCTCCCAAAGTGCTGGGATTACAGGCATGAACCACCACGCCATGCCCAGTTTATGAATTATACCGTAAATGTGCTTATTCAGAAGCCTGACTCTCCTAAAATTCAACCTTGTCATGCAGATATTATGAGATTTTCATCAAATACCTTTTCAAAATGAAGATATGTTTCCAATCTTCATGTCCAAAAATACCTTCTCCCTCAGTACCTCCACCTAACTAGAAAGTGAAGTCAGGTAAATGAGACTTGTTCTTGAGGAACCCCACGCCAACACCTCATTGTTACTACCTCTTTGTAAAGTGTTGGAAATATAAAAATGCTGTACTGTGAACTTTGTTACAAGTGCTATATTGTTATTTACATACATTATCTCTCATTTACATATGTTATCTTATTCAGTCCTTATAGCAATGTTTTAAATATGTCACTTTGCCATTAAATAGCAGAACCAAGATTTGAATCTCCTAGATTTTTTGCCAGGAACAAGTCTCCAGCTTACCTGCTCATGTATTTCCTAATCCATCTTCTCTCCCTTTCATGGAAAGCGAGTGCCTTGGCTTCTTTTGATCTTTTGTCAGCTTCCTGTTCTCCGTGATCTCTCAAAGGTCACTGACAGGAGCTCTGTGTTCCTGTCTGCAGACCCCTTCAGTGTCCTGGGATTGGAATTGTCATCTATTTAGACCTAGGGACTTCAATTCATTGCAAAGTCCAGATAAGCCTGAAACTTCTCAAATAGCTCATATTCCCTTTTCTTTCTTGAAGTCACCTCTTAATCATGATTCTTATTTGAATATTATTCTCTGGATGGAGGACATAGAGACCATTTTTAGTGAGTTTATTTCTCAGCAAGAAGAAA